CCAAAAAAAAAAAAAAAAAAATTAGCTGGGCATGGCGGTGTATGCCTGTAGTTCCAGCTGTTTGGAAGGCTGAGGCAGGAGGATCACCTGAGCTCAGTAGGTCCAAGCTGCATTGGCTGTGAGCAGTGTGCCACTGCACTGCAGCCTGGGCAACGGAGTGAGACTGACTCAAAAACAAAAAACAAACAAACAAACAAATAGTGCAATGGTGCAGCTGTTCCTTGTGGAGGCATTCTGAAAACTGTGTTACAACTGAACTGTTCTGGAAGTCAAGGATAAGGTATAAAGTGGAGATGCTGGCCAAGACATGTAAATATCTTAAACTTTCCCCTCTAGGTCTCCAAAGGCCTTTATCACTCCATTCAGCCTTAAGGTCAAATTCTGGATGTTTTTGTAGGCATCTTTTTCTTGTGTCAAATGTGGACATTTACTTCGTAAGAGTATAGTGAAGATTAAGGGAGATATGTAAAGCGTTCGGTAGATAATAACTGCAACCCGAGAGCATCTTCCAACAAACTGCACAGTCCTTCTTGGCTGATGACTGACATTGCCTGTTCATTTTTCTCTTAATGCTATTGAAGATGCTTTCAATGCAAACCTAACAATAATAGCGGCTAACATTTATTGTGAACTCCTATAAAGTCATTTCAGCTCCAGACCAATCCTATCAGGATTGTTATCCTTATCTCTCGCACTGTGGAGTCGGCATTGGGCAGCCTGGCTTCAGGGCCCAGCTCTCTTAGCCCATGACTTGACTCCTTTTAGCCAGACTGACCCGGGCCACTCCTTGGGCCATATCCTGTTCCTAACAAACACCATATTCTTGGTGCCTGAGGTTGCCAAGAAGGATTCTCGCCTCAGTTCCTGGGGCACACACGAAGGTAATTTAATTCACCCAGCTGGAACTTGCCCAACTATGTCCTAAGCTCAGTTGTCAACTTTCACCTTGGCTGAGCAGCCCGTCTGCACCTCTCTCCCTTTATTTCAGTGGCCTCAGGGCTGACCCACAGCGTCAATTTCCTAAGTATCAGTACAGGTATTCTTTTGTGTGGGTTTTTTTTTGTTTTTGAGTCGGAGTCTCACTCTGTTGCCCAGACTGGAGTGCAGAGGCAAGCTCCCGGTCACCACAGACTCAACTTGCTGGGCTCAGGCAAGCCTTCCGCCTCAGCCTTTCAAGTAGCCAGGACTACAGGCGCGCTACCATGCCCGGCGAGTTTTTGATGTATTGTAGAGACGAGGTCTCGCCAAGTTGCCCAGGCGGGTCTCAAACCCGCGGGCTCAGGCAATCCACTGGCCTCAGCCTCCCTAAGTGCTGGGATCACCGGCTGAGCCACTGAGCCCGGCCTGGTATTCTTTATCTAGTCATCATCAAATATATAGATATAGCTATATCTTGGCTGATGTCTGACGTGGCCTGTTCATTTTTTTCCTTCTGCCTCTTCACTCTATTGAAGATACTTTCAACGCAAACTTAATAACAACGAACACATATATATCTAATATGTATATCTAATATAGATAAAAACAAGACCCGTATGTATATATATTAGAGCCGAGGCCTCGTTTGGCTGCCCAGGCTGGTCTCGAACTCCCGGCCTCAAGCGAGCCTCCCCCTTCGGCCTCCCAAAGTGCTCGGGATTACAAGGTGGATTACAACCACCGCGCCCGGCCAAGGAGATGGGGAAAAAGAAACAGGACTCCAGGCGTCTCCGCGGGCGAGCGCTGACGCCGCCCGCGAGTCCTGGCGCCGGCGCGAGGGCCCGAGACACCGCGGGGCTCAG